CTCTGAGGAGAGAAGTTATTGTTCCTCCGCTGGCCATCCACCACACTGCAGCTTGCTCGACCTTCTCTAGAATTACTGCCTTCTCCTTTGATGCGAGCCCCATTACCTGAAAGTAACCCCCCCCCCCGCAAAAAATGACATGAAGTTGCCTTTACAGACCGATCAAATGACAAAGAGGTGAATACAAGGGTGACAACTCACGCACACAAGTGAAGTTTTGAGAATTGTGGATGGAATGTAGTTCACTGCGATATAAAGAACAACTAAAGGGAAATTCTTGACTCGGCGGCTAATAAACACTAAAACCTCAACTACTTTAAATTCTTCTGAAATCAGTAGATTTTGGAGGATTTTGTAGGATTCAAGAAGACGTAGCCCAACCAATGTTACCTATTAAACATGAGCGGCACCTCCTGAAAGTTTTAAGTACTGAGCAAGAAAGTGACTGATTCCTGATGAATAAATTAATCCAGCTTTGAAAACTTCCTCTGGGGAGTTTGTGTTTTTGCTCACGTACCTTGGGCTTGTTCGTCTCCACTGCTTGCAGGGCTCACAAGCAGAGGTGAGCTTGGAGTGTTACTACGGCTAAGGGATACGGACTGCTCCGTGCTGGATCGGGGAGGTAGGATTGGAGGTATGTTGGGGATTGTCTCCGCCGTGTTGATCCCAACTTGAGAGAGCATCTGCTTAGACATCTGATTGATGGTGATGTTGGGGGGAGGGTAATTGTACTTTTGAGGAGGAGCTGGCCGGAAGGCCATGGCACTGGGACTCTTGGGGAAGATGCGATACGTGGCCTGGTTGGGTAATCTCTGGGGATGGGGACCGATAGAGAGTGGTGGGGGGCCACCTTGGGGCTGCTGGAAGGCTGGGTGGGGGGGTTCCCCTGGGCGGCCCTGGGGACTGTGGTGGTTGGCTTCCAGGCTGTTTTGCCGCCTGTTCATCAGTTGCTGGAGGTTGATCTTCTGCTGTAGCTCTTGCGCCGACAGGGGACGGGAGCCAGGGGAACGCATTCGCCCACCGACTAACAACTCAGGGGGAACCTGCCCACCCTGTGGGTGGGGCCCAGGGAGGTGTGATCCAGATGGGGCGGCCGTGGGTGGCCCTACCCCGCTGTTTCCAGCTTGGAGCGGGTCGTGGACCACTAATGTCCACAGCTGAGAGAAGTTGGGTAAGTTTTGCATGTTGGCCAGGAATTTGATGTCCAGTCCCGCGATTGGCTGTCGTGTGCACATGATGCGTAACAGGAAGACGAGCTGGTGAACTATGACCTTCTGACTGTAGAGCAGGGCGGTGATGTTATCGGAGTGCAGGGCACGCTTGGTAAAGTCTACAGCATGCTCGATGGCCTGCTCCACCCGGTGCACTTCAAGGATCTGCTGGTCAAACATCTTACGCCGGGCATCGCAGACGCCCTTTAAGTCACTTAGAAGTTTCTTGCCTCTCTGAGTAATGTCATTCACCAACCTGTAATTGGTAACAAAAACCACCATCAGTCTACACTGATATTCACAACTGTTACCACACACCAGGGAAGGAATGAGATGGTGTGACAAATTACATTTTACCCCTGAATGCGCACAATCCATTCCCTTTTTCAAATGATTTGCATGTATACAACCACTCCCAATTTTTAACTGAAAGCTTACAAATATTTGCTTTCAGTCAATTTCCAAGCTGAGTGGATCTACACCCAACTTAAAAAAAATTTTGGTGCCTCTCTATTCCTCGGTATCAGCCCCCTGACCTGAAGACGAGGTTGCGAATCTCCTGGGTGACCTGTTCCTCGTTGGTCTGCAATTGCTCCCCCTTGGACAGGATGTGCTTCTTCGTTTGCTGGACGTAGTTCTGTTTCTCCCCAAGCTTCCCCAGCAGGATGCGCAAGGCTGACTTCTGTCGGGTCGCAATCTCCCCAACAAACTGATACCTGGCGTGCAAAAGAATTTGAACAATTCACAGTCAATCTGGCTAAGACTTATTTATTTTCACCAGCAAAACTTATCTTTGTGTACGGTGTAAAATAAAAACCAGAGGCATTTGAGGACCGGTAAACACTGAAGAGGAAACAGAGATACACAGACCTCTCTTAATTCATTGTTGTGTCAAGAGATTTCAGAAATGATCTCCTTCCTCAAGGCTTACAGATTGAAGATTCAATTACTGGTTAAATTATGCCCAGTAAATGAAGAGAAGATACTGCTACCGGCAATGATTACAATGCACTGAAGTGTGGGCTTGTCCATGTACATGAATCCATTTTAGTACACAACACTGTCAAAGTAACCAGTCATTCTGAGTGACAGGATGCCAAGTCTTGGCACATAATCCTCTCAGAGACAGCAAGCCTCGTGTTCACGGCCAAGAGGATGGGCTGCATCTTCATCAAAGTCCTTGGAAAGTTTCTGAAGGATTACCAGGCAGAGGTTCACATGCGTTTGTGCTGGCATGATATCTTGTAAGGGTTAGACTGCTTTCCAACTCTTAACTCCCTAGCGACTAGCAACCTGCCACATCCTAGCAAATCCCAACACCATGTAGTAATGAGGGCACAAAAACAGGTGGATTTTGTTATAATGGTATGCCTTATCCCACATAAAACACAGCCACCATACCAGTGCAGTACTCATCCTAAAAGATTCCAACAAACCCTGGTGTAGGAGTTTTGCCTCTTTGGGATTGTTAGGGTTGAGGCAGTGAAAATTGAGTGCTGGTAACATGTACATACAATATACACACCAGTGGGTTACTTGTAAAACCTTGCACAATGCACACACAGAGAAAAGAAGATAAATACCTTCATGTACAATCAGTTTTATAGCCAGCCATATTTTAGAGCAGGACAATCTAGTAATGGCGAACGGAGGGATCAAAGCAACTGGAGTCTCACGGGTCACGGACAGGGGTCCAGGGGCTCTCTTAAGGGGACTCTAGATCACATTTCAGTGACTTTCAAAATTGATTCCGATTTCAATTTTTTTTTTTTAATTCTTCCAGGTAAAAAAATGAAATTTTCACAGCGACTAATGTTTTCTGAGATTTTTAAGGATTTCTGAGCCGGTCAGTGGGCTGTTTCATCAAGCTTAGTGCTGGACGGTAGAACGCTGTGGTGGATATCCCCAACCGGCGTAACTATAACACTGTGTACAATGTGCATGTTGTTTGAAACCTACACCGACAGGATGTGAAAGATTTTACCGGGAATGAAAAAAAAAACAAAAATGCATATGGGCTTGAGGCACATGTAGTGATCTACAGTGAGTAGAACAAACTATCAAAGTACAATATGTACAGCCTAGAATGCCAATTTGATTTAAAATTCCTTTCTTTAGAAAAAACTCCCTAGACAGGTTCAATTTCTGTCACAGGGACACAAAACCAAGTAGTTCAAGATATGTAACTTGAAACTTAAATTTTTCAAATAGTTGACGATAGCGATGCACATGTACATGTACTTCATACGGAGCTATTGGAATGAAATTGCTCAAATCATCTTTCTGTTGCACAGGGACAAAAGGCTTAAATCCAGCCACATTTAAGTACATACTAAGGGGGGACATTTACGGGTTTAAATGTTTAAAATGAAATAAGTTCCGATTCCATTTATCGATTTTCCCAAATGTTTGAATGAAACTGCCCCTTTTAGAGGCTTGATGTTTTGATTGTTGCAATCTGGCATTCATTTCTATTGTAAACGATGCCTGTTACAGACTGTGTTTTCCATTTTGGCATCCGTGTACTTCCCAAGAACAAAAGTGATTTCTAAAACAATAAACATTGCTCGGTTTAGATGCCCCAGCTTTGATCTACATATCTACAATTAATAATGTCTAAAAATTGTCGAAATAATGTATCACTACTTAAAAATCTTGCACAACACAGCCACGTGGTTGGCCAGTTGAAGCAGTATCAATTTACCATCTCTTTCCGTTGGCAGTGAAACGAAACAGAAACCATGACCAAAACCAGGTCTGCAGGCCTGGGTATCCACCACCGAAACAATTTGTTGTTGCAGTTCCGCATGGGAACCCACAGTACATACATGTATCATATTCATACAAATACAATTAGTCATCTTCTTGGGAAGTGACAAATTTTACGTTTCATACAGTGCCCTCGCTGTACAAACGTGTAAATTCATGCCAACTTTTGCTTGCTCTTATAGATATGGGGGTTTGGGGCCGTCTTCTTTCCCAGCAACTCTTGAGTGTGAGAAAATGAAACCAAGCATAACTGTCGTGCGGGCTTTCACTCTTGATAGCCGTCACAAAATGCCTGTTTCGTTTTACAAGTTTCAGGTTCTGCATATATTATACTTGTGTCCTTTACATGTACAGCTCCAGCTACGCTTCCTCAAACAAAAGTCTCACTACCCTGCACTTGTAGCCTGATCCAGTAGTTTAGAGAAAAAAAATCCAAAATTTGATGGGAGTAATTCAAAATTAATCCAACTTCAAATTTCTGTTGAGAGTCTGGCTCGTATTCCAAAACTAGTGCATGGGCATGGGCATGTACATGGGCAGTTTAAAAGTGCTTTAAGACATGCCTTTTGTTCTATATGACTTGCATACATTTGAACGATGGCAGAATTTCACACAAGCCTACTGGCATGACTGGCTGTATCTCTATCTTTGTACATACGCAAATATATTCAATGTAGTTGTTGGTTCACTACACTTTTATCATGGCCCACAAGTCAAATTGCGAGAATGTCACTTTATAAAAAAACATTAGAAATATGTATACAAATACGGTGGAATAAAAAAATAAAAAGAAGTTTCGGTTGTGGTCAAAAAATTGTCAAAATACTGCACAAAATATGAAAATAAAAGAAAAATATTTACAAAGGCTGACATCCTACAATTTGATAGCAAGAGGAATAACACGGTACACTTCAGCGACCATGCATTAAACATTACACTAAAACACTCCTGACCATTAAGAGTAAAGAGATTTGTCCAATCTTCAAACGGTCCAAAAGAAAAGTTTTCACTTTACAAGCTGATTTTCACATTTATATTTTCTTTCTCCATTCTATGATTAGATGAGCAGGTGTTTGAGTCATAATTAAGTGTATACTTTGCTCATCCCGGCCATCTTAGAACAGATCCCTTTCCATCCCCTCTCCCTTCCAGCCGTACCGTACCGTACTTGTTAGATCTATTGTCCCCTCAACTTGTAGTCTTTGCTCTTTTGTTCAAGAGTAATAATACCTTTGTTCGATGATGTCATCGGCGCAATAACTAACAGTAATATTAATAACCACCAGCACCAGGAGCGCTTACTTGTGTTCTTTATGCTCCTGAAGTTGGCAATCTCTGCACGTCAATTTCTCACAAGTCTCACAGTACAGCTTGAGTTGCTCCTGTCGATGGACCGAACAAAACAACGGCTTCTGCTCGTTCCGTCCACTGCCGTTACTTCCCTCCCCCGAGGTGCCCGCCACCTCTGACCTCGGCTTGATCACGTGGTCCTTGGTGACGCGTACACGCTGATGAGCCTGAAAGCATAATGCAATAGCTGAGTGCTGAAACACTGCCCAGTGAGTTACAGTACGCTGCCGAAATGCTCTCAATTTCTTTGCTACAAAAAAAAATGGTTTGACTAGCATGATACTAGTTCTTATCATGTTTTTCCACAAAATTGATTCTTTTATCTCAGACAGTCTCCCAGTTCGATAAGGGGCAACTAGGCTCTGTATTAACATTTTACAATGCCTGCTGGGAAGTGATAATGCCAGCTGCGTCAACCATGCCCTGGCACCTGGATAAGAGACAGTTTAATCAGTCCTGATTGGTGAAGAGTCTGTGTGCACGTGGCTCCCCATGCAAGCACCAAGTCCATATCAGGAGATTCTTTTGGACAACTATAAAATAGAATGGACGGGGGTGTTCGGGAAAATGAAAGTAAATTCTAGAACAAATGGTTGGAAATCCGTCATACCAGTATGTATGTATTGACTTCTTTTGACTCTCTGACTAAAACAGGTGTATAAATGGGGATGAATTAAGTGCTTGGGCATTAGCCGCGTCCATTCTCTTGAGCCAGTCTAGAGCCGGGCTGCCTGAAATTGGACAAAAAAGCTGGTCCGTGTAACAAAAGACAGTACTTGGAACATAAGACCTGCAGCTGGGAATTGCCAGCATTTTTCGGCTTGTATTTTTCGAAGGTAATCCGGCACTGTTTTTAAACAGTATACCACTGTGTTGGGCATAGCGCGCCCACGGATTAGCACTGCAGACAAAAGTGCTCCAGGGCCCCATTGATTAGCAACACAGCACCGCTTCATGCTAATCCAGACACGTTTGAAAAGACACCACTTGCATTCACTGGAGACAAAGGAAATTATGCAACACCTCACAATTCTGGGCTCTCTTTACAGGGCAGCAGGCCTGGCTCAAATACTCAGGAGTCAATGAAGGTTGCCTGTCAGCTTTGAGTAGCCACCAAACAGTCATTCATGTGGGTGTAAACGTCCATGTTAAATGAAATGATAAATTTTTGAAGAATTTTGTAAACTAAAAATCTTGAAAATCTCCCGTGTGTGTGCCGAGCATTTTTAAAAGCACCCGGCAGTAAGTGGTCAAACACATGTTTAAGATCAGCCAGGCACATCTTTACTTTGTTAATAATGTTTGTTTGGGAAAATGATAAAACGACCTTCATAGAAATGTGTTGAAGGCTACGTGTACAGTACCTCGCACGGAGTGTGGTACTGTTCGTGCTGGCTTGGGGGACAGTAAAACTACATTCATTTTGGCTGCGTAGAAATCTTGTACGACTGATACAGGTCTGCTAAGTTACATGTACAAGTACTGTAAGCATGACGCGTACATGTACATTCATGGAGCCACACAAGAACTGGTCAGTGGATTCCCTCCCTCCTATATGCCGACATTTGCTTACCGTGCAAATAAACCAAAACATTTTGTTAGAAACAAGTGTAGACATGTCTGTTTTTCATGGGGAGTTAGCTTGGTGTAGTTGGCCTTCCACATCTGCATCCTGGGTTCGAACTCCAGCTCAATCCACATGTGGGTTGGGTACTGGGTTTTTGGTGGGTTTTAACCCAGAACACTCCTCTGAGTTTTTCCTCCCACCTCTAAAACTGTAACTGCTTCTCAATATCTCTTCTCTACAGGTTTCCTCAGGCTTGTGAGCTTACAGTACCTAAGGTGCCCAGTTGAGGAATTCTTGGTGTCATTACCAGAAATGAAGTACATGTACATACGTGTACGTGTACAAGTACCAATGTTCATCGGCATGTTACATGTACACGAAACTTCTGATCTACATTACCAGTAATGCTCACTGACAGACCTTTTCTGAGTTCAGAAATGATATGGGATACATGTACGTAGTCATAACACACGACATGAAAAACTGCATGTACATGTACGTATCTTTCCATCTGTTTATGCAGAAAACGAGAGCGAGTTAATGTACTGACCATGTATAGATTCGTTTCCATTGTACGGGCATGCTTCAATTGTTTATTTTGTTTTTCATAAGATACGCCTTGTGAAACATATCAACCATGTATAGCAGGATGCGACTTGTGCATGACTTCTCGCCAGGACGGTGAAAACAACCAGAAGTGAACACACTTTTGCCATGGAAAGCAACGTAAAATGCATTTATTTTTCACCTCACACTGACCCGAGGTCAAGCAAAATCGCATCCGTGAACCGTAACCCACGTATCATGATATGTATCATATCACGACGGCGTGGTTTTGTTACACTCCTAAATGATCATGAGAATATACCGGTACATGTAGAATAACATTAGTGAACACTGACAGGTGGGAATCACCTGATACCTTCCAAGAACATGTCTTCTAAACAAACTTTGATGTACCACTATGCTCCACGTTGGTCTCTGCAGCAAGGATCAGACAAGATTGGTGTATACAATTCAAACATACATGCAAAGTGCTTGCATAAAACGGGAATCACGAATACTGTCAAATCTCTGGGTTGGAGATTGATCTCAACTCCTGACTAGACTGGATCTTAGAGGGTCATTCTGGGTGCTACAGGTGGCCTGATATCATCCGTCCCACCTGTATGGCTTTCATAAAGAATGTCACCTTCTTTTGTTTGGACAAACAAGAGAAACACTCTGACCGACGCTCATCCAGGACAATAAACTGGAAGGTAGTGGAGGTTGGGAACACGTCATTTTTGCAGATTTCTATGGACTGGTGTGCAACAAAATTATCAGCTCTTTCTTCTGACATGTCTGACAGTGTTTGAAGGAGGAAATAACGGAACAAAATTGACACCTTTTGAATGAAATGAGGAAATGATTTCAAAGTACATGTTGGTAGCGAAAGAGGAATGGAACGTACCGTGTGCTGTGGTTGATTGAAAATGATAAGAATAAGTAAGAAAGGGGGAGCAAGGACTCGGGGGGAGGAGTGGGTGGGATTGTGCAAAGAGGCGGGCAGACATAAGGAAGCGGTAGGTGGAGTTGGGAGAAAGGCGGACTGAAGTGGGGAAGGGATGGGTGGAGTTAGGGAAGGGATGGATGGAGTTGAGAACAGGTCGGCAGAGTTGGGAAAGGAGTGGGTGGAGCCAGAGAAAGAGTGGGTGGAGTTAGGCAAGGGGAGGGTGGAGTTGAGAACAGGTCAGCAGAGTTGGGGAAGGGGTGGGTGGAGCCAGAGAAGGAGTGGGTGGAGTTAGGAAAGGGGAGGGTGGAGTTAAGGAAGGGGAAGGTGAAGCTTGGGAAGGGGTGGGTGGAATTAGGGAAGGAGTGGACACAAAATTCTTGCTTGAAGCTGAAAACTGAGACGGAATCGGGATAAGTCCTTCATTATTTACCTGCACACAGGGTTCACAAAGCCACTCCATGCAGTCTTGGCAGAATGCTGAGACCTCAGATTGGTCGTCACACAGACAGACACCAGCATCTTTGACACTGGACTCTGCCGAGGTTGCGGAGGCTCCCCCAGTGATAAAGTAGTTGTCAATGATCTCGTTGATATTCCGACAATCTTGGCGGCAGATTGGGCAGCGACAGCCTGAAAGGCAATACGAACATGACAGGATGTGAACAATACTGTAAGTGAAGCATCCATCAATCTGACAAGCAGTGGCCTACATGTAACTAGGACAGTGTACTCCACAGCCTAAAATTATAGTAGGGCGGCACATGATGTGAGCGTGGAGCACGAAACCATTGTGGCGTAGGGTCGGGGCCTGCTTAAGGGCTCTGGGAAATTTCGGATTCTAGATGCTCTGTGATGCCATCTGAGGTATTTCCTGGGCACTTTCTTTAGACTCCTTGAGTCAAATTTGCTCGTGTTGAAATGAAGGCAATATTGTTATCAGGAGGTCATCAAACATTGATTTTTCTTCTGAGGCATTTCCTTTTTTAACTGATTGGAACTCAATGTCGAGCAGATGATTCGGGATTACATGTACCTACATGGGCGCAGCGCGAGTGAATGTCGCAAGTGCAAGGTCCCTTTACTAATTCCAGATCTAAAAAATAACTCCAGATTCTAGCATCAAAATCCTACAATTCCGGTGAAATATGGTCAGTCGACCACCTTCCGTATTTGGAAAAACTACAAAATTACTTTCAAAATCTAAGCTTTTTATCTGGACTTGGGGGATCGTTAGAAGTGACCGGTTCTAAATAGCGATTTTTTTTTCTTGTCAAAAATCAGGCAGAGCAATTGTAGCAAGCTGGTTTTCTAATTAAGAACTTCTTGATTTCAAGAAAATTAGTTCATAAATAACAATTTCAGTGAATTAACAAGTAAAAGTTGTGTAAGTTTTGACTCGAGTTTTTCAGCTGTACTGCGAGCAATCAGTGACTATCCCCCTGCGCTGCACAGTTGACGAACCCATTACGTCACATACACGTACATTTCTGTTAAGTCCGCGTAGTTGAGTTCGCAACGTACTGTACGTGCGTGCACTTACAGTGTGATCCACAACTAGGAAAAATATGCATTTAGTTTTTGGCCAATTTACAAAAAAGAGAAACTCCAAAAGTCATTTTGCTTAAACATACATTAGATGTAAACTTTTATAGGACAGTTAAGTAAGAAACAAATATTTGGAATCACACGTACAGAATGACTTATCACCGAGGGGGCCACCCAGGGATGCACACATTTTCAAAAGGAGGCACCACATGAAAATTAACTGCAGCTACATTTTGTACACGTACATGTACATTTCAATGGAGACTATTGACAGATTTCAATGGGCGGATGGGCACCCAGGGGAGGGGGCACAGGCATCCACTGGTGGGGGGAAAAAGAATGCCCCTGGCTAGTTTAAGCTACTGTCTACAAGACTCAAGAGAAAATGATTTTCTTTTGTCACGTTCAGTGATGATTGTCAGTTTGTTATGATGGCCAGCCATTTTGCCAAGTCATGCAATTAGCCCACTTCCCATTCCGTCACCATGTTAATTTTAGTACCCCCGCCCGACTAGGTGAACAAAGCCAGAGGGGACCAATTTGTCTACAACAATAACAATTGTCAGCATCCATTTGCCAAACGTTACACAACGTTCAGGACGTTGTTGTCATGAATTTCTTCTCTTCTGTTACATGCACATGTAAGTCTCCTGAGCTTGTGTGATACGTGTAAAAGGCTTTCTGATGCTGGCTGCAAAAAAAAAGTGACACGTGGACGCAGTAGCATATGGGGAAAATGACTGACCTCTACTAAACTGCCCAGGCATGGCAGGGTGAAGTTGTTACATGTACATGTACATTGCTTTTCACGTTTCGGGCTTCACGATACTCGACAGGCTTTTGCCCTTTTCATTTTGAAATGTTTGCTTTGACTCATTGCAAACATTCATCATGTTCATGACATTTTAAAAGGGCAAACGTTTGTCGAGCATGTCAAGTGTTTTTTGTCTTAATAAAATAATAATAACAAGGATAATTAATTGTGACAAAAAATACCATTTTACTTTGCTGCTTGTCATGCATGTCATGCTTGTTTAGAACCGAAAACAATCAGCCAGATACATGACTGAGATGCATATAATATTTTTGAAATCTTAAAGCGTGCAATTCCTTACCTTGTTTCTCAGCATTGGTGACATTCAGAACGCACTGCTTGCAAACGGTGTGCAGACACGGCATCAATTTTGGCTCGCGGGTTAGTAAGTCACCGTTGCACACTTTGCAGACGGTTCCGAAAGACCAATCTTCCTCTGCAGGCTTTTGAGGTTCCTCTTTTTCCTTCGCCAGCTCCGGAGTCTTAGCCTCCGGAGTTGGAGTATCGGACTGTTCCATCCCGAAATGGCGGTAAATTCTGGGACAAAAGCAAGCAGAGCTAGCTAAGCGATGGACATGATGTTAGAAGCAGTCATTTTTCGCATAAGAGACTACTCTTTCTTTAAAGCGGGAAGGGCGCCATCTTTGATATTACTTTCTTTTTATTTCCCACGCACAAGGGTCGTAAACCGCTGAACGTCTGTTCAGCAGCATTTAGGGAGGAAGACTACGTTTTAGGATTTTAAAGAACACTTAAACTCTTTCAAAATAACAGCAACCATTGAAATATCTAATTAACGGTAAAAATATATCCTCACCTTTTCTTGCTTGTCAACTCTTTGACCCAGATTCCTCGTAGGAAGTTTGATAATATGTTGAGTTGATCGTTCCCTGTGTGGCCCTAGTGAGCTTTTCGTAGAGAATTAAAATGGAATGATAAAGGTTACTTTAGACCCTCCTTTTCAGGTTTAATGAAAAAATCTACAGTTTATACTCTTGACGTTCATGAAATGACATACAAAATAATGCAGATTAACAATCTTTCATTTTAAATTCTGTTTTCGGTAATTTAATGGTGCACGTAAAACCACAGGCTTCCTTTCAACCTCGTTCTTTTGTTTCAAGAAAGACGGTGATCTCATTTGTTCTCGTGAAATATCGTAGAAAGCGGTCTTTCGTTCGCCATCTATCCAACATGGTGGGTCTTCATCCAAAACCAACTTGACAAAAATCTGTAATCATCCGTAAAAGGACAGTGTAATTTGTCTCCAACTATCCTTAGTTCAAAGCTTGGACAGTATCGAATACAAATGTCTAAAATTTGTGGTGATCTTCCCATCGGTTGCCTTACAAATTTATGTGCTTTGCTTACGTACATATGGGTCTGTCCACCCTAATGGATACATTTGCACATAACCAAAATCATCTCTTTCTTTAACAGTGTTGAGAGTCAAGAAATGAACTTTAACAATTTTACTGATATATGTATAATTGTGGAGATATTGTTTACACAGTTAAATAGGATTTGGTTGTTTATTGTTGAAATAATCAGGACCTTGATAAAAACGTCCAGCTTATATTAATTAGGGGGCTATATTTAGGTTCTGGTGAGACAAGCACATAACTGTTTTCAGGTAATCTAAAATACTACTCTCATAGAGAAAAGCACTTCATCTGTTAAAACATATGTACTACAGGTATAACATTTGAGAAATGTGTCAAAACCTATGGCTTTTTATTTCTTTAGTTAGGTTATCTTACACCGGAAGTTGAGGATAGCTAATAAAGGAATAACGTACGTCACAGTGTCTGTCCACAGAGTGACAAACATTACTTATTTAGAAAAACTTACATAGTGTTCATTTTAGCTGAAGTTTAGTAGTCTTTTTGACAAAAATTATTTTGAAACTGAAAACAAACAAGTCTGGTTTGTGAATAATTCTGTTTTCATGCTCTAATTCAAACACCAGAAAAATGTCTAACGTTACATCTTCAAGAATGAATTTCTATAATTTCTTAAATACTGCTCAATTAAAGTGGAGAAATTTGGAGGATTCAGGGTGTATGGCAAAAGTGCATGGCTGATAACAAAGGATGCCATACATGAAGGTCGTGGATTAGACCTTATGTTGTTTGTGCTTAGTCAAGCACAAATTCAGCCAGATATTTCTTTTGAATCAACTGCACAGCTCAAGAGTGCCATTCGCACCGCCTCAACATAATGACAGGAATTGCTGGAGGCTTTTGAAGGATTTGGGCAGTTAGGCACACCTCCAAATGACATTTTCAAGAAATTTTAAACGATTTTGGAGGATTTGGGCTGAATGCAATTTTCCCATGTTGAAAATCTGAGGATTACAAGAATTCAGGATGGTTCCTAGTAAGAGGCCAAGGGGTTAGGGTTAATCGGTTTATCGTCATTCAGCAGTTTCCATGTTTATACTGTCAACATGGAACCATCAGGACCATCACTTACATTTATAGAAATACAAAGCTTTGTTGTGATCCCTTCCTCAACCCTAGTAAACTCTGTTCTTGTTTTCTCTTCACCTGCAGTCGGTGTTGAAGCATCGCAAGAAGACAAGAAAGCTCCGTGGTCATGTCAGTCACGGCCACGGGCGCATCGGCAAGCACCGCAAACACCCCGGTGGCCGTGGCAACGCTGGTGGGCAGCACCACCACAGGATCAACTTTGACAAATAGTAAGCCTAAACATTCAATGGGATCTTGAGAGGGGCTTCCGAAGGGTCATATTGTTGGGGGAATGCGGCTCTCTGCGACTGTTGGAGTAAAGTCCACTCTCAGTCCCAGCAAGTCAACCACAAGTCATATAGTGTCGGGTCACTCGCTAGTCAAGTAACTTTGACAGTGCTATTCCTTTTTCATTGTTCACCCCGTTACTTTTGACTAGACTTGTAAAAGGACTTCTGGAAGACATTACAAGATGTGTTTTTACCTTACCATGTACTGCTCACTTCAACAGCAGTGCGTAAATATAGTACATGTAGTTGTTTGAATCTTTTGGGTAGAAATCCTTCCATTTAGAAGTGCTCACTGCTGAGGAGCATTGTCATGTCCAAGGTACAGATCTTAAGATTGTTAGTTACTGAAAACGGCCCAAATTGACAAAAATGGGTCCTTTGAATTCATAGCACATCTCTCATACCCCTTCCTGCATGCCCACAGCCATCCAGGTTATTTTGGAAAGGTTGGAATGAGGCACTTCCATCTGACACGCAACAAGTACTTCAAGCCAGCCATCAACGTGGACAAGATTTGGTCGCTGGTCAGCGAACAGACCCGAACGCACTACGCCAAGAACACAGAAAAGGCACCCATCATCGATGTCGTTCAAGCGGTGAGTAGAACTTCTTAATCTAGGCCCTTTGGTGCCATCTGAGGCAGTATTTCCACTGTCCCCAAATGTACTTTGGAAAGAAATGTGAAGCTTCGTTCACAAGTATTAAAGATTTGGGTATAAAAATGTGGGCTGGAAATTTCGAACAAGCAAAACTATCAAAAAATTCGTTCTGGTTTGTCCACTGGACAGGTGGCTTGATGAGACACCTTCCAGTTAGTACAGTGTGTATCAGCACAAACGGGATCTGTCCGTTCCACGGAACACTAGCCTTCAGTTATATTTGCAGAGTCAGTTAACTTCTGTAGGATTTTAGGAATTAAGCCAGCACTCCGCAATTTGTTGCCTTTATTTTTTCACGTGCATTTATGTAAAGTAAGCTATTCAAAAATGACCTTTGCCGTGTTCAATGCCAACCCACCAGCTCTGGTTGAAACATCAGTCGTAAGGTTCAGTTGAATTCGACATGACGCCATGAGAAAACAGAATCTCGTATTGGGATTAGGGTTAATCTGTAATAGATGGGGCAGTCATGGAATTGCAGAGCTGAAAATTTGCTAAGCAGACACAGGTTTCTGGCCTAAACGCCGTCGTTGTTGATTGTCCATGGAGTACTTTCTCAGCTGACTTGTGCTGATTAAAAGAATTCTCTGTGAAATTTGGCTGAGTTCATTCAGAAGTGTAACTTTTGCTGCTAAATTGATGCCGAATCATATCTTGAGGAAGATACTGGTAGTCTGATTTGGAAGATTTGCATACTTGGTTTCCAGGGCTACTACAAAGTCTTGGGTAAGGGTCTTCTGCCCAAGCAGCCCGTCATCGTCAAAGCCAAGTTCTTCAGCCGCGTTGCCGAGGTCAAGATCAAGAAAGCAGGGGGCTGCTGCGTGCTTGTCGCTTGAAGAGGTCAGGGGCCGTGGTCATCACATAGAGCTGCTGAGGGGACATCCATCATAACATGGAATGAAGTGATCAGGCTTTACCCAACGGGGCCCGCTACTTCATCAAAACTTGCAAATTTGTTTGTGTGTTTTTTTTTTATTGTGAGCTGCAGACCAGCCGTCTATTTTCTGTTCCTGTTGATATCCCTATATGGGACGCTAATGGGCAAGACAGGCCAAGGATTTGATGATACGTTGCTGGTTTGATGTTCTCTCAGTTTCCACAACATTGGATTTCTCAGAGCTGTGTTAAGTTGGATAATAAAAGGAATTATGTGAACACAGTTGTAGTTTTTGTCATGTGCTTCATTTTTGTGAGCGTTAAGATTGGAAAGTGAAAGGTTAAAGGCGCTTTGTTTTGCGAGGGATCCCTAAGCTGGTAGCGCGCATGCGTGCGCGTGCCATTTTCTTTCCAATTCCAATTCTAACTAGCGCCCCCTGGGCACCTCTTGAGATGCGTGAATAGATGTGAAACATTTTCTACTTGCACGGCGGTGATGCGCAAACAGCAAGGCGCTTCAACTGATGTGACAAGACTGAAGTAAAAGAGACAATCGCCGAGTTACTTTGCCAAGTCGTGCCGGCCGTCACTAGATCTTTCTGTTTACCAAAGAATCGCAAAGTTGAACATGTATCGCGCTTCATTCCTCATAACCTGGAGTGTTTAGACAAGTTCTCCGTGTGCCGAGTTAATGGAAGAGATTCTCGTGTGCTCTGCGATTCGCCTCCTCCCGCGTAGGAAAACGATTTGTAATATCGACCGGGCAGGTGTTGTTATCCATTCATAAATTCCCGCTAAAAACGTCTCTCGAGAGCTCCCCCTCCTGCCCGTGTTCTCGTGATCGATGACGGCACCTCGCTGCAAAGTGGGGCAACTTTATGAAAGGAAAAAAAAAACGAAGCCAGATGCGGTTTCTGGAAAGATGGGACAGGCGGTAAAGCTGAAAGTGCGTGGAAACCGGGTCAGAGATGGACTATATAAACTTGAAAAGGTTTGGCCAAGAGGGCGCACTACAAGTCAAACAAGATCATTTACGGATATGATTTTTCCAAGTTTTAACCTCCAAGTCTTTATACATGTACTTAATAGCGTTTCGCGATTCGGCAGCTAAAAAACGACTGACTAGAGATTACGGGAATAGGCCTAGGCGTAGTGTAGGCTCCGTAAATGGCTTTTCTTTCTGGAGTAAGGGCCGAGAAACGACTTGCTCGTTTGAATTAGGTCAACTTGAAGGTTGGCTTTCATACCGACATGCTAATGGATTCCCAACTGCTGGCAAAGTAGCAGGCGCTGTGCTTGTGCATTCCGGAGGGAGTAAAGGTCTCTGTAATCTGCCATGATGGAAAATATGTTTATTTGGAAACATGCAGGTGCTAGCATAGTGGGACAACAAAGATCTCAATGTCGGACAACAGCCATCCAGTCAAGACGAGGAGAAAACGTCTCCAGTCCAGCTCTTTTAATGACCATCATAATTGAAAATACGATCATTATTGTGGTGAAGGCTTAGCAGCATGAAACAAAGGATTAGCCAAAATTGTACTCTTATTTGAACCTCTAGGAGTCAGAACGTCAACTTTTAGAATCTAAAACGCTAGATATCTCTTCAAATGCAGGCAAAGTTAAAACGGCGTTCAGAATGCAAAATTAATGTTAATCCCCGAACCTTTTTAACCCTTTTTTTTTTTACTTTCAATCCCCTGAAAACAAACTTCGCCAGGTCCAAGGTCACTGGCAATAATGTATCTAAACTTTCTCCCGCTCATTGCTTACAGGGAGCCTGGTATTTCTTATAATAAATCTATCAAGTGGTGGACAATGGTCTTCCAGGCATAGCAGGTTAACTTCGCTCACAAGACACCATAATGCCGCTTCTGCTGTCCGTCTCAACTCCGCCGATCGTCCCACGTCCTTCAGCCAGGCCCGGTGGAGCATTTTCTCGGCCTCTTAAGACCAATTGCAGTCCGGTAATTAGAGCTTCTCTTCGGGTAAGGTGATCACGGTAATAGCCAGCTGGAATTATGTGCACGCGCACGTACCGCTCTCATGTTTCGCCCTGACTACGCACCGCGCGCTGTAAGCAGGCGACAGATGAACAGAAAATGGCGGGAACAGCCAAGTCACGGTTCGTCATTTCCAAGCAAGTGGACGGTCGGATGTAAGCGTCCCGAAGGGGCATTTTGCAAGACGTAAATTTCAAGCACTGTATCGTGGTGGGCGGGAGCTGGATTGTTGTGATAAGGCGATCCCGATTCAAGGAAACCGAACTCAAAGATTTTTGTGACGAGATCGTGCGAGGTTTGACGGGAAAACTGGACTGATGACAACCTGAGATTGTTCGCCATATCGCAATTTGATCACACAGCAATTTTAGATCTGAATTAAAAATGAAATTCAAGCACTGCATCGAGTATATAAACGAATATCGCATTCTCTACGATTTGGGAAATGTTCTGTTCCGATTTTTACGACATACTTTAAGAAATATACTTCCAAATCTACCTACTTTTACTTAATGGAAATTGTCTACGGCTGTTTGAACTTCTACATGTATGTAAACAGGAAGATTTAGTTTAGTCACTGAAATGTTTGCTATAAGTAATAATAAAACTGTTGCCTATAAACATCAAAACAGCAATTTGCTTTAAAAACGCTTTGAACGGAAGCCGTGAGTGGACTTTTGGTGACTTGATAGTTTGGTCGACTCATTCGCTTGAACCGTTTAGAAACTTAGTATTTCACATCAAAGGAGAAGACAACAGCGTCTGCATAAAAGGCAACATAATCTCTGACAGCTCTAAAATGACGGGATAAGTGGGCAGATTGAAGCTATAACTTCCTCCTCCAACTGCCACTCTTGCACCTGCGACCGTGGTCCAGCATCAACTTCACGACGGACTTGAGGTGTCTGGTAACGCTGCTATTCGTATATAGTCGGCGGCGTTCAGACAGATATATTACTCTGCACTATGCTTGAATCATTGTCGCAGTCTGGACTTTCATTTAGACGCTTGGGCACGCTTGTTGGCACATGCTGACTACACTTTGGAGGAAAAAAAAGATCTGAACTTGTAGATTGTTTTTAAGTATAGGCTTTGAATGAAGATGGTAAAGCTTGCTCTCGAAACTAATTGTAAAGAAAACATTAGGCCTACTTTAAACTGTAGACAGGACCGCTAGAACGACACCAGACTATAACAAAAGAAACCTCGACGTCTTTGTACAAACTTGTTAAAAACTCATGCTATCGTGAATGATTGTCACTGGCATCAGAATGTAATGTTCTTACGAAAGAAATAATTTTGTATCCTCTATGAAAGTTATTACCAATGAGTTGTAATTCATTTAAATTGGATGAGCCAAGATGCACGACCTTATATGTCCTAATTGAGGTGTGGTTTCTTCAGCGAATGCACACTTCCATTCTTACTGCCGGTATACAGTGTTACCAAGGCAACCTTAAAAAGCGATAGAAGACGATCTTTAAAAGCTGTAATACAAACGTGGAAACCCCTAACAGTGAGGGAAACTCACGGATTCATGCGAGAACATAACACCCAAATCCACCTGCTGCCTTTCGCGGGATTCGAACCCGAGCTAAAGGTTGGGAAAATATACTCGGCCCACCTTGAGTGCTGATTGTTCAAGGACCCTCCTGACCATCCTAGCAACGACCGCACTGTATAGTGACGCACTTGAAAGTCCATCTTGCACGAAAGTCACGCCTCGCCAAATGATTGAGTGTTTCTAATGCCGAGCTTCCAGCTTCGTATCTCAACCCATCTCGACTCCGGGAAATCCGGAAAACAAGACTCATCTGATGATACCATCGCAATTAGCCCGGCCGGCCGAACGGCATATGTCTACCCTCCCTCGTTGGCCGTCCGGGCACGCTCCCCGTAATGGTCATTTATTACCATCGATACATGGCCATCCAAGTTTAGGACATAATTAATATTTCCTCCACGAAATAATTCAGCTGTTTTTGGCTGAATAGGCGCTGGATTGGATCTCGTTTGGATTACCTTTTGCTTTCGACAGATTCGAGGGAGGGCATATCCGGTGGTCCTGTCTCCAACAGATGTAGGTAATTCCTACAAATTCCGTGTGATTTTCTTTTTTTTTTCTGGCCGTTTTGGGCCTCGTATGAGGCCGGATTGAAACTCCAGTAATTTTCGAATAAAACCAAAACAGCCCAAGCTTACGACTGATTTTCGGAGTTGTCTATAAGTAATATGCCTCCGGCCTTTTCGTTGCCTGACTTGGGTCCCAAGTCGTTAAATATCCCGCTGTCAAAGGCGGCAGCAGTCATTAAAAAAAGAAAGAACAACAATTTATAAGATGTGTTTGCCTACATTTACATTTCTAAGTGTCTTTAGCGTACATGTACATGCAGTAACGTTATGGCCCAGTGCGTGTGAGGGGCGCTTTTCATTGAGTTGATAAACAGAAAATAACGAGATAGTTCGGAGTTCTAACAGCGCATGCCCAACGTGAAGCGCGTCCGAGGTCATTCGGGAACAACGATACGCGCGCGCATGGTCTGCCATATCAGCGCAGCAATACGCCGATTCGAACGCATAATGGCCTTGTCTTTTTTGAAATACCAAACAGGCTAATCTGAATGCTCGGTTTCAAATGTACGTGCCATATTTCAAATGCTCCGATTAACAGTCATAAACGGCCTCTCACAAGCTGGTCAAGTTGCTTTCGCTGTCCAGAAAATCATGCTGTACTGTACGCGTTTTCCTGAAATCAGCCCCGTTTTGTTGTTTACAGGGCTCAAGAAGGGTTTCGGATTGTCCGATTTGAGCTGGTTTGCTAGTCAGTCCCAGAAATTGATGATATTGGTATGATCATGGCTGGAATCTGTGAACCTAGCTAGCTGTCGATGACGCCATCGGTAAAAGACACAAGACGGTGTAAGCAGCTTTACTAATGACGTCACTGCTCCCCTTAGTCTCTTATAGGGTCCATTTTGTTCAATCTTGCTCGTTGAAGAATGAACTCCCCTGCCCCCGAATCGAACACCTATTGTGGAACAAAGTCATTAGGGAAATGGGTCCGTGGAGCATTGCAGGCAATCGATTAGCGTGCGATTTGGACCGTGTCCCTTGCACCGCGGCGGTACCGGTTGGGAGCCAAGCAGGGGTAAGCGCTGCTTGAACCCAGCCCACGATGGATCACCGGGGAGGGCGGGATGCGGTCGCTTGGCTTCAGCGCGCTCAAAATGGATCAAGTTCATTCTCCGTTTATTGATTGGCTCCCTCTTCACCCGCGCTTGCATAAATTATCAAATCAGGACACAGGGAGAGGGTCAGACCGCATTAGTGGAGTAAGGCGTCAGCACTAGTAAGAAGGCAGTCGGAGGTTCGAATCCACGTAAGGAAGTAATGCTCCCAATAGGTGCAAGACAAAAACTGGTTGAAGAATAATTTGTCTCAGAGTTTGGACAACGCAAGGGGTTTTTCTGACACTGTATCATACGGCATTTTAACAGTACATGCTCAGCTGGTACTTGGTAATACTAATAGTTCTTTTAACGCAGCGAGGAACCATTGAAAAACGTGAGGTGCAATCCCTGTACACGTGCGCGCGACGTTGGCCCAATCAATCAATTACTGTAACAATAGGCAGGGGCGGACCCCCCCCCGTTCAGCCGTGGACTAATGATGGAACTACTAGTGAAATGCCGGGGAAATGAGTAGGCCTCCCCCACCGCCCCACCCCCACCAAAAACCCCCCCAAAAATCCTGGACGAGTATTGCGCCATCCGTCTATCCATCTATTGTTAAACAATTACATCGATTTCCGGTGGACCCCATGAGCAGGGCATCCCTTCAGGACGCCCATCAACCACAAACCCCCCCCCCCGTTTCCTGAAAGCTAGATCCGCCCCTGATAGGCACTTAGTCCTCGAATGGACTTCCCTTTCTGGGGCTATATAGATCATTTACCGAGCGTACATTTACTTCCTAGGTCAAGCCAACAAATTGCAACATGCCTGATTGCTTATTAAAATTCTGTTTGCTTTGAAATCACTCAATCTTTAACATGACTTGTATTGTCCGTTTATTTTAAGAATTATTCTCGAGTTTAGCCTTGATGCATGATTCGAATATCCACTGCTTGGCCTTGCTGTGTTTTATAAGACACCACACACCATTTTTCTTAGTTAAAATTAAATACTCAATCCAAGATTTGTCTTTACCGAAACGCCTGCTTTTTCGGAATTCAGTGTTGGCCACACTACATGTCTGGCTGAATCTGGGAAAGCGAAAAAGAGGCAGAAAACTCCCTCAGAAATTGTAATGAGAAGCGGCAAGCTGACTGCGCACGTGTTCAGGTCGGCGCCTGCAGGCCTGGCGGTGCGTAGATCCAGCAGCATTGATTTTTTTCGGGGGGGGGGGTATTCTAGAGTCTGACATATGCCGTCATCGTGCTCTTTGACTCCCGACGAGGAGACTACAGCGGGTTCAATAATCGCCAAAAGGAAAGCATCGTTGCACTGCGGTGAAGCGGTGAAGAGATTCGCGGAAAATGAATTGAACTTCTTTCCATCGCTGGCCACAAAAATCGAAAACTATTCTCAGAGACAAAATCCTGAACTCTATGGAAGTTACCGTCCCTACTCGGTTGAAAACTATACTTCAATGTTACAAGTCTGTATTATTGCTACGGATTTCTCAAAGTGTTTCATAAAAATTTTGTTTCGTTTCCTTTGACATTTTTTAATAACATGTACCTTTTACTGATTTCTAACAGTCTTGCTTTCCTTTATTTCTGTTGTTCACATCTTTGCTTTTTGCATTTCATTCTTGATGTAAATAAGGAAATTTAAAAGCCAGACACCGCAGTGAAATGAGAGTTTTCATTACAAACGGAGGAAAGCGAGGCTTGTAGTCACATCAACTTGAAATCCGAACGTTACCAACGGAAACATAATATGCCACATCCAATCATAGGTTGCTATATCGTTTCTCTCCTAGTAGACAAGTATTTACTTCAATTCTGGCCAAAAAAACTGACGACTCGAGATGTTTCATAAGCCGAGTTTCTTAAAATCTGCCAAAGGATACATTTGCTATCGATCGCAACCTGTCGCACCCAATCACCAGAATGTCCTCGCTGTCTTTCTAAAGGCGGAGAGAAAGCGACATCGGACTCAAAAACAGATTGAAGGCGTGATGCCGCGTGGGCGACACTTAATACGCGATCTGAGACTACGCTCTAACGAGCTGACCAAATGTTCACGATATTTCTTCTTCATGGCTTCATTAACCGAAGACCAGAAAACGTAGATTTGTGCGGTTTGCCGTCTATTCACATGCCAGTTGCAGGGCACACTATGGATTCTCTAAACACACAGCAAAATCAAACAAACCACAAAAAAACCAGACACTTATTTTGAAAACGTACTCGGACCTCATTGTGCGAGTCCTGTCTCACTTGATTGACTTTAAAATGCAAACAGGGAAGTTCACATTTCACGAAGGTAATTGGATGACGTGGCCATTTGGGATTTTCCGTTGAGAAAGCAGGCGGAAACCTAAAATACCACAAGTGTAATGTCATATCTGGGCCTGACAAGTGTTCACCATTTCTTGACGGTGCCGCCCCAAAAGTAAGACCTATCATGGATGGCACTTTTGTGAACATTCGGCATTTTGTCTTTGTAAGACCAGCCCGCAATTTCGTGACCTTCGTAGTCCAGTTATCGCTACGTGCACGTAAACAAGAAAATGGCGCCCTCTTGCGGCTCGCAGTATCTCTCCTTTCCACGGATAAAGAAATTTCACTTCTTGTCTAACTACATGCACTGCCGAGCGTTCTTTTCGTTGGATGTCAGGGAAACCGCACAGAAAACAAGGAACGATTGGCATTTTTTAGTTGAATGGAGAAAACTAACACGAGGACACAGCAGGTAGAAAGTTGGGTTAATTACATTCTTACGAAAACCCTGAGGATCATTTGCGATTTTTTTCAAGAGTATTTTGTTTGTTGGTCTACCTACGAAAGAAGAACTCGTGAATTATGCACTGTAGGCAAGCTAATTATACTGAATCCGGAAATGCCATCTCTAATGATGTCCCTTGCAAAGACTTTTTTGTTTAATAGTCTGACTTTCTTCCATTCAGTTTTGAATGAGTACATGTATAGTCCAGGTCTCCCGCGGGACTGGAAAAAAGTCAATTACTTGTTGCTCTAACAAACACATGTGTTTGAGGACGAGAACTTTACTTCAACAACAATGAAGTGCTTAAAAAGATTGAAAAAAAAGATACTAAATAAAAGAACAAACACTCTTTAGAAGTCAATACAGGCGATTCACAACAGTGCGCCACCAAGAGTTTGTAACGCGTGGGCCAATCACAACGTGCGAAATCTGTCGACCCTTCCCAAACGCGCATTAGGACGACAGATTTCGCGCATTGTGAATAGCAAACGCGTTACAAACTCTTGGAGGCGTACTATTGTGAATCGTTCGTATTATCTAGTCACTATCGTTTTGGTTGCAGCAAGAATAACTTCTTGTTAGAATACCGGGTAAGTTTCAGTAAGAAGGGAAAGGCACCAACATTAGGGGACAAAATATCATAATCTTCTTCCATTTCTTTCGTGTGGTTTGAATTCTGGTGAAAATTGATTATGATATGACCGATTTTTTGTCACGGCCTTGTGGAAGTATTTTGTAATCATAATAACAATGGGCAAATTTGTATTTTATTTATCACCGACATGCGCATTTTAGTTTAAACTATTGTTACTTTCGTATGTATGCCTTTCGTTCAAGTCATTTCAAACATGGGCAGAATAAAGACCAGACTGGTTACCATCTTTATACACAGCAACGTATTCCTAGCGTGGTAGGCCTAATCATTGAAACTAAATTAATTACCGCCAACGTGCTACTCAGTGCTATTGACTCGATTTGAAGTGTAGGTATCTTGAAAAATGTTTTGCGTTGTTTATCACTCAGGATGGTTTTGCACAGTTCCCTGTAAAAGTGAAACAGCGACCGTGCAAAAAAAACCCCACTCAATGGCCCCCGGTTGTCCATCTGAACCCACCCTCGTCCCGTCGGACCCGAAATGGTAGCCCCCTTCTGACGCCAATTAACCTTTCCTGAAACAACAGAGAAATCACAGGAGGGTCATTATTTCTGCATGTTGACCGTTTACAGAAAGGTCAGTCCCTTGTTCGGGTTGAGTTGGCAAGTTGTGGTCGTTCCCATGTTGAATTCGGAAAATCAGTTACAGGATTTTATTTTTCAATAAACGTTCGAGCACTAACAGGTTGTATAGGGTTTAAAATTGTGCTTTTATTTATTGTTAATCTATTTCAAATATGGCGGGAAATGAGCCAATCAATTTTCTTCCTGTTCTTACTCAACGGCAGTCGTCATATGACGTTAATCCTTCATCCATGTGCAGATGTCGCATATTATTAATTACAGACAGTTATTAAACGCCACTATCGTGATCACATGCACGTACGTGCGGTATTCGCGATGGCTATCATTCGTTCGACGCAGGAAATCCCCCGTAGCCAATCAGAACGGCTGTCTTGGAACACGCGCCCGTAGCCCCACTGTTGCGGCATCGGATTGCGCCGCGCCGCGGATAATGCCACACGCGTCGCCTCTCTAGGGGAACCAATCAATTTGCCGGAATCTCAGCGGACAAAAAATGAACAAAGTGGCCCAAATGGTGCGCAGTAAGGTATAAAATTGCCGCTCCGTGTGGGTAAACTTTCATTTCAAGTGCATTTAAACGCGAGGAAAGTACGGAACTGACACTGTCGCTTGCAGTCGGAAACGCAACTGAAAGGATATCGTCTTAAAGGTATGCTTATATTCCTTTTTTGTTGCACACATTGAAAATGTTGTTTGGTGTGAGGTTGACATTCCTCACTACGTTTTACTCCCTCAGTTCATGAAACTACTACAGTTATTGAGAATAATTTTATAATTGCTGCATTTCTGCAAACCTGCCTTTGATTTTTCCCCCAAATAGAAAGATATTTGAGCTGGAACGGACACCTTTTTTCTGTTGAAGAGATTTCCATTCCAAAGGCTTCCATGTTTGGCTTTTATTGTGTCAATTAAAGTCAATTAAATTGGAAACGGACCGCCTGTAAGCTTGTAATTTTTGGCAACTTGTTATGCACGGACCACTTGTAACCTTGTAATTTCTTCCTAAATAACCCTGACTTAATCGGTATTCGGACCTTTGACCTGTGGATACCACATCGGCGGCAGAGCGACTGATCTATCTCGAACTATATTCACTCTCTGCACGCTGTCGCCATATGCACGCAGAGCCTCGAACTGGCAGCTCGCACAACACGTCAGAATCGCTTTGTCCAATCACATGGTATAAGAACTAAAACATGGGAATCACTGAACCGGCTATATTGACTGTGCAAAGCTGCCAGAAGTTGAGCATCTGAATGCCTATGGCGGTAGCATGTAAAGAGCGAATAAATCTTTGTTTCAGGAGCGGCTTGTCAGAAGGTTAAGAAAACCACAGGCTTTAATTTTAAGCCGAGCATGAAAAAGACCAGGTGAGAACTGGTTGAAATGTTTTCACTTCGGCCCGCTTTCTGCAGCCTCGAGATGGCTGGCAAGACACATTCATTTTTTGCTCATTATGAGCAAGATTTTCCCGGAGTTGTGGTTGCATTCGTCGTGTTAGGAACAGTTTTTCCTGCTGGATGATTAAGACATCACATTCCAAGCAAAGTTCCCTCGGCTAATAGTTGATCAACATCAGTCTCTATGTCGATTCGGGTACCCGTGAAAAGACCCATCCATCTTCTCAGTGTAGTCATGCTATGGAAAAATCTTACAGTGTCGCACGAGTTGCTCTGCGTGGGGTCAGTTTAGTCGGGCGCCTAATGCGACCCGAAGGACGATCTCACTGTCTGATAACAAGCTGACAAAATCTAACAGCCAATAGGGCTTCAAAGATTCGTTTTATCACAAAAACTACAAACCAGAGGATATAATATACTAATCAAAACTTCACATGTTACCCCCCTCCCCAAACAGTTCTTTGGAGGGCAACCTCACTTTTGCTCAATCTGCTATCACAGTCTGCTCGTAAAACTTTGACAGCTTTATCAGCAAACCAGGCAAAATTTGTAGTAATCTGGAAGTCCCAGAAACTGCCGTACATCCATTAAGCAGAGCTCGAGTCAAGATGTGTATTCCCAGCTCGCTCATGTTCTAATGTGAAATACGGAGAAATTGGGACTGCAGATAAGGGGTAATCAACAGACGAGACGACCAACGGAAGCTAATTTGTCATCGGAATTCGTGCCCGGCAAATATTGCTGAGTACATACGGGCCCCTGCGCCGTGATAGTCCGCGGGGCACCGTGGGCACATTCGGGGGATCGTGTAGCAATGATTCTGCGTTACAGTGGTCTTGACATATCCTTCTGCTGTGATTTAGGATATAGAGACTTGACAGGGTGGAGTAGCTGTGTGTCTAGGGCACGTTGGGAAATGATTTAAAACCCGGCATATGACATCTGTTTTCCAAGACATCAGATTTTCATTACTCTTGCTCCTGATTGGTACTTGTGGTTAGTACACAGTTTGCATTCCCGGTCATCATGCCCGGTTTCGAACTACTCAGTCCTAATTACGAATTGGTCCTTATGTCTCTTCCACAATGACTGATGTCTTGTACGTTTTCATGTTTGGTTTGTAATACATACTCATCTTCTCTTCAGTCACCACCTCCCAGACCCTCCTAGATGGGATGTCTTCAAATTAATAGTAGCATTTATCAAGATGTAAAGTCGGTACATATTCTTAGTTGGGCATAATTCCTACTTAGTCTTAGCTATTAAAGTGCACAATGTGTGTCTCCTCATCTTGTAGGGCAGACATTCAGAGGACGGTGCTGTGCATCCATTCTGCAGTGACGTCATTTTTTTCTGCTCGGACTTAGGTTTTTATTTTTTAAACAGCGTACCTCCGCATCCCGTGATCAAGACTCTAATAATACCCACAGAGAGGATAAGCCTGGCATGCATTACCCGTGTAGAGATAGGCAGCGCATCCCCACGGTGAACATAATAGGCTAAAACGATTTAATGTAGGGATCATCCCTTGGCAGTGAATAAAAAAATTACTACATCCGCAGAATTCCCTTTTGGTATGACCTGTTTAGATGACATTACAAGCAATAAAGTGAACCCCTCCTCTGTGAAGTACGTGAAGTACTGGGCAGGTAAAAATTTCGTCAGTCCGCAATGTCCCTGCCAAAATCGTCGAAGCATGTGGGACACAAATCAGGTCTTCAATTCAACAATCTCTGAACCTCGGCTTTTCATCCTCTGTAAAGAAATCACAACGAAGCTAAGTGGCATCGACCGTTTCTAACTGCTAGCTTATACCATGGAGGAATCGGGGAAAATGATGTCCCGCGTTCGACTGAGAGCTCTTCAGAGGACACGAACGAGGGTGTTATTAACTACTGTTGAACGCACGGTCGTGAATCCTCATTTCCGTGCATTTAACCCTGAGGGACTATCTCAGGTGGCGTATTCGTATTCAGTTGGCGGTGAAGATCACAGCGGCTTCCTATTTACTCGAATTTAAGGCCATAAAGAATATTGTGCATATCTCCAATCAGCGGGAAATTGTGGCTTGCGCGCAAATATCTAGCCCGTTTAATGACCCTTATTGAATTAAAAATAACAAACTTTTATTGTCGGCGGATTGTGCCTTGTCTTCTCATTTTGATTCGAATAACGGCAGTCTATTTCAAATAAGCATTACTCCATAGCGTGTATTAAGTGACGTCATCATTACGATTGAGGTTGCTTGGTCAGTTCCGTCCATCCTGAACAAACCCCATAAAAGAATGCTTTTGATTGAGCTGATGGAATGAGTTACCGTAAACGGATTTCTAATTTATCTATTCGATTACACTCCTCTGGTAAAGTAAACGACAAGGATATTTCAATACTTTCAAAAAGTGTTTTACAAGCTTTGGTTAAAGAATAGTAAAAGCGTACCACTGCATGCAATGTGAACAAAAAGTCATGAACAGACTTCGTTACCGCTGCCAGAATTAACTAGGGTGGTCATGAATGGTGTGTGACACACGTTACTGTGGGCAGAACATGCAGAACGGTCACTTTTCATGTTATGCAAACTTAAACGGTCTTTAAACTACTCAAACGGGAATTGGGATCGCCTCAGCGGCACGCTCTGAGGCCATAAAACAGGCGGGCTGGATTATACCTGCTACTATAAAGCGTTTTCTTGCCGCGTCTAAATATCACCATAATTTGGCTTCGCTTAGCTTCACTGTTTTTGTTTCGGTTTCAACGGCCGGAAACTCAATCTCACACGGCAGTGTTCAAGTGGGGAAGAACGGTCTTTCCACGTTGACGGGATAGTGACAATCTCGAGATGGTTTGGGCTCGCGTTACGAGGTATTAATCTCTACAAATCTCGGGTGTGACATTTCTTCGATGTGTCATTACCATTCTTAATAGATTGGCTGTCTTCACGATCCGCAGGTTTCTGTTGCGGTTACAACCAATGTAAATACTCACGGATTTACATACCGTGCCTGTATCTGAATTTTGCAGTCTATGTTCGGAAGTAAATAGGCCTAAATCTTTCATGAGTTTACGCAAGCTGTGGACTTTGAAGGAAAAAAATCATCAATCAAAGCTAACTGACTAGGTTTTGTATATCGAGGGCAGTTCAGATCATTTTAGATTGTCCTTTATCAAAATCTGTGGAAACAAGTGAGTCGATTTTGAATCAAGAGCCATCTACTCGGTCATTTTAATAAACTTTGACAATTTCTTGACAGGAGGTTCGCTTGAAGAGTAAGTTAGACGTGTTTAAGCTATAAAAAAAATCGCCGACGATAAAATTCAATTTGCAATTAAGTAAACTGTCACCTAATGAAAGGGTGATCTTTATGAATTATTGAAGAGCAGATTGGAGCCGTAGATAAAGAGTGGATGAATTCATGTGATGATGAAGGTCTTCAACGTACCACGGGCTCTTTGCGTGAGCAAAGGGGAAGGGGGCTTATCTTCACCAAGCAACATCTCCCTTGAGGCGACACAACGCGTGCGCGCGTATGACGTAAGCAATAGTCGGTTCACACGCGCACGCTGTACCGACTACGAGCACCCGTTGGTTAACACGCAAACTTGGCACTACTCCAACGGCTTTGCCGCATCGTGTAGGCCTATTAATGGGCGTGTCGTCCCACCCTTCCTTTTTGTCACCAGTGGGGGTACTTGTGCATGGAGAGACTCCTGGCGTGGATATCGGCGCTGTAACATGAGTAAAATTGAAAATGTGGGCTGGTTTAGCTGGACGGGTTAAGGTCATGATACTAAAACAGGCTAGGGCTGAACCCATCAAAGTTGAACAGAGGTGATAATGGTATGCATTATTTTAAACTTGTTACTCAAAAGCTCGGGATATTGAATTTTTGGCCATTTCCCAACTCTAAAAAGCCTCTGTATTCTAAGATACCGCTTGCCCTTGCTTTAAGTGAACCAGGCGACAACATCCTTTTGCTCAAGGGGTCAACTGAGTTGACAAGGGATTTCTTCCACAGAGCACGGCTTTTTAAAGAGTACATTCTTCCTCTAGACAGCCAATTCGCAAAACCCAGGAAACATTTAAGTTCACAAAAGGCTCGCGTCTGTAACCCCTTGTAGTAAAATCATAGATCTCCTGCGTGATTCCATCAGATGAAGCAAATTTCAAAATCAACAAAGCTCCATCCCTTGCATGGTTATTCACGGACAGCCCCCGGCCTCCCTGCTTGTCTCGAAAGTGCCGGCTAAT